TTTCTCTTTTTTTTTTTTCTCTCTTCTTTTTCTTTCTCCTTATATCTGACTCACCGTCCTCTTCTCGCCTTTTGTTTCCACACCTCGATCTCTGTTGTTGTTGTACTTGTTTCCAGTCTTTCGTTATCTCTCCGTCTAGGCCACCATGAGTTCCGGAAACTCACTGTTGCCGCGCGGCGGTTACCAGCTCACTCCAGAACAGCAGGCCATCAAGGACATCGCTGAAGCCACAAACGGTAATCTTGCCAAGTACTTGATGATCGTCTGCGGCTCTGTGTCGGTCGCCGTTATCATCTGGAAAGTCTGCGAACGCATCATTCGACTTACTCGACATGTTTCCTGCCTCAACAACGACAAACAGCGCTACTTCGCCATTCCTTCGCAGAGGCTCGCGTCTCTGAAGCGCAACCTTCTCTATGCCCCCGTCTTCAGCAAGCGACACAACCGTGAGATTCAGCTCAGCAAGGCCATCAACGTCGGTACATTGCCTACTCGATTTCAACTGCTTTTCCTCGCCGCCTACTTCATCTCCAACCTCATCTGGTGTGTTATTGATATCGACTATTCCGCCGACTTCTCTGCCGCCTGTGGTGTCATTCGCAACCGTACCGGCGTACTTTCTACTGTCAACATGGTATGGCTTTCTTTTAAACTCGAAAACGGCAACGGCTACGCTCCACATTGCGTAGCCTTGTCTTGGCATACATGAGATACTAACAAAACTCTAGGTTCCTCTGTTCCTACTGGCTGGACGAAACAATCCTCTTATCCCTCTCTTGAACATCTCGTTCGACACGTACAATCTCATTCACCGTTGGTTCGGTCGTATCGTCGTCCTTGAGGCCGTCGCTCATACCGTCGCTCATTATGGCAAGAGTCATTGGCAATTTACCCCTCCCTCAGGCAATTTCATCCTGCCGGGCTTCGTTGTAAGTCGAGTCTCGTGATTCCAAGCTTCTATGTGCTCCATTGCTTACATTTTCTAGGCCACTTGCTCTTTTGTGTTCCTGATGATCCAGGCCTCTAGCCCACTTCGACATGCCTTCTATGAAGTATTTAAGGCTCTCCACATCCTCGCTGCCTGTGCCGCCGTCGTTGGTCTCTACTATCACTTGTCTGCATCCCCAGAACTGTACAAGTGGCTTTGCTATTTGTATGGCGTGATTGTCCTCTGGAGTTTCGACAGAAGTGCGCGTCTGTGGCGTGTCGTTCGTTCTCATGTTGGAGGCTCACGTTCCCGCACAATTGTCGAGGCTCTTCCTGGAAATGCTGTACGATTGACAATGACTCTAGCCCGTCCCTGGAAAGCCGCCCCTGGACAGCACGCCTATTTGTATCTGCCTGCCATCAGCTACTGGCAATCTCACCCTTTCTCAGTCGCCTGGTATGACGGGGTAGAAGACCCCAAAAACGAGAGATTGGCCAGTACCAACCAGGATCTCTTGTCCATGCAACAGCAGCGCATCTCGTTCGTCATTCGAGGCAGGACTGGCATGACAGACAGTCTCTACAAAAAGGCAGTCTCAGCGCCCGGAGGAAGGTTCGAGACCAGCTGCTTTGCCGAGGGCCCTTACGGTGGCCACCATTCTTTCGACTCCTATGGCACTGTTGTTCTGTTTGCTGGAGGTGTTGGCATTACTCATCCAGTCCCTTACATCAAGCATCTCGTCGAAGGTTATTCAGAGGGTACTGTGGCAACTCGGAGAATCTTGTTGGTCTGGACCATTCAGACTCCCGAGCACCTTGAGTGGATCCGCCCGTGGATGACGGAGATTCTCAGCATGGATAAGAGAAGAGATGTTCTTCGGATCATGCTTTTCGTCAGTCAGCCCCGATCGACTAAAGAGATTCACAGCCCTTCATCAACTGTCCAAATGTTCCCGGGAAGACCCAACATCAACACTCTCTTGGGTATGGAGCAAGAGCATCAGGTTGGCGCCATGGCTGTGACTGTGTGTGGTCCCGGTGCGTTGAGTGATGAGGTGCGATTGGCTGTGCGAAACCGTCAAGATCGATCTCACATCGACTTCATCGAAGAGGCTTTCACTTGGTAGACTGCGTGTAGGTTGGAGAAGCCAGGTGTTGGGAGATTTGATATTTCCTGGCTAGACCAGCTCACCATTCCCATCCGCGAGAGACCAACAACGCATTTGACGAGAACCGGATTGACCCGTAGCCTTCTATTCTGAGACTTTCCAGTGGTCCAGATTATCACGTCTGTTTTTGGACACCTTGCCCCGCAAGACTCAACTTTTGAGATCAATTTCATGTACTGTACTTTAGATCGAGGTGTATCTACGCTCCTTTTTCGGTCCCTTTTAGGACCTACACAAGAATATTATAAAATCAACCAACGGCCACAAATACTTATTTGCCATCACTGCGTGCACGATTGTAAAAGTAGAAGTTATTGAGACTAGTTGATGAACGATCGACCAAGAGATAGAACAAACTGGCGGTCAACTGAATACTGAAATTGGAATCTGGCGAAGGGTGATCAGCCAGTCGCCTGTATCGATGTCAGTCAACATCGTCCCTTTGAAGCCAAGCATCAATCATGGTACATTCCGTTTGTGGCCTGCTCACCTTGTCAAATTTTATCAAGAGAGCCGAGTTGGCATACGTATAACATTTTTAACATTATGAATAACGCGCCTGAAATTGAACTTTCACATTGATTTAGTACTACATGGCAATGTCCATGGATGGCTTGTGTAGAATACTCGTTCAACTTCAAGGATGACAATGTTCCCGTGACTCGCCAGATGTAGACGTGCTATGGCAGGTGACTGAGCGGACAGGTATGATCTGCAGGGGTCACTGTCACTTGATTGCCCCCACCGATACATCGACACAACCGATGCTCTAACAATTATCAAGTTAAGTCAAGCCATATATACTAGCGCCGACAATGACTCTGCCAGATTATGCATGCATAATGACTGGGATCGTTTGCTTCTCGCCCTGGCCCTCATGGAGACACACACCCCTTCTCCACCCCATGGCCAAAGGTACATCAGGTGGGCTTTGGGCGTGTACCTACTCGGAAGAGTGGAGGTGGCGCGTAACGCGTACCTTAGCGCGACACCCGGACAGTACTTACCTACAGGTGGAACCAAGAGCTGGTGCACGTGTGCATGCACTTAGGTACTGGGTAGGTACGTAGGTGCCTGCTGTGGTGAGGCAAGACCTCCGCGTTCGAACTCTGCTTGGACTACCGTGCTGAACCCTGCATACTGCTAGCGGACATCTCCCTGCTTCGTCTTTGAGCTTATCAGCTCTTTGTTCTACGGTACTGCTATCAGGACCAGTCTTCCTTCACTACCATCTCATCCTCCACCTTACCTCTTCCACCTTTTCTTCACCTGGCCGTTATCAATCGGCTGCTATTCGATATGGCGTCCAGGAGTCTTATTCCGTTTCTTGTAGCCATGATGCTGCTCACAGGTGTTTGTAACACCTTGTTGACCAAGTATCAGGTATGACGACATAGGCACCGTCGCATCTATTGTCCTGGCTAACTCAAATCTTTTTGTAGGACAACCAGTGTGTTCGTAATTGCGATCCCGACGATGATCCGAGAAAGCGTGCTTTCTTCAACCAGCCAGTGCTTCAAACGGCACAGATGTTCATCGGCGAGATGGGCTGCTGGTTAGTTGTTGGTATCATGGCACTCTGGCGTCATTTCAAGGGCTCTGCCCCGGAGCACCGAGGCTACCAAGTTGTGAATACCGAAGAAGAGGTCCATGGCACAGATGTGCCAGAAGCCAACGACCGTACAAAGCTCCTACATACAGGCCCATCAATCCTGAGAGGATACCGAGTTACATTGCTTGCTCTGCCTGCTGTATGCGATATCTGCGGTACTACACTTATGAATGCCGGACTTCTCATGGTTGCTGCATCCATTTACCAAATGACCCGAGGCGCTCTAGTTCTATTCGTCGGTCTTTTCAGTGTCATCTTCCTCAAGAGACACCTTCATCTTTTCCAGTGGCTCTCCCTTGTAGGCGTTGTTCTTGGAGTTGCGGTTGTAGGCCTGGCTGGAGCTATTTGGCCGGATGAGAAGCCAGAGGGTTCTGTTGGCAAATCCGAAGTGGGCTCTCTGGCCCAAGGCGGCTTATCAGATGCTACCAGGGCCATTGTCGGCGTCTTGCTTATTGCAGGTGCTCAGATTTTTACTGCTACCCAGTTTGTTCTTGAGGAATGGCTTCTGGAGAGATCTTCGATTGAACCGCTTAGAGTAGTTGGGTGGGAGGGTATTTTTGGCTTTAGCGTCACTCTCTTGGGGATGCTCGTCTTGCATGCTGCAGTTGGGTCGACTGACAGTGGTCGATATGGATATTTTGACATTGTTGAAGGTTGGCGCCAAATGACGGAGAATAGGCAGGTCCTGATCTCCAGCTTTCTCATCATGATTAGTATTGGGTAAGTTTGACTTGTAAAAACAGGAGTGTTTGGGTACTAATCCTCTCAACAGTGGTTTCAACTTCTTTGGGTTGTCGGTCACTCGAAGCGTCAGCGCTACCTCCAGATCCACTATCGATACCTGCAGAACCTTGTTCATTTGGATTGTCTCTCTGGGATTAGGCTGGGAGACTTTCAAATGGCTTCAAATTGTCGGCTTTGCTTTGCTTGTGTACTTCACCTTCCTGTTCAATGGCATTGTCCAGCCTCCTTTCGAATTCCTCAAGGTTCCGGACGAAGAGGTTGAGGAGCTTTTGCCCGAGGAACCCATCGAGCATCGTTAGACGACTATATTTACACAAGCCTTACCGTAATGGGTAATCTCATTTTGCACTTGGATTTCGGTTTGGATCTGGATCTGGATTGATTTGGGTTGATTTGGGCTTAGATGTTTCTGCTTGTTTATAAGTAGCGTCAGGGCTCTAGTACCGCATTTGTTAAAGTTTATTGTATTAAGACCTCTGCACATCACTCATACGAGTTGTGGTTGCAAAACTGAACACCCGTGCTAACCTGGAAATCCATCCAACGCCTTCACTTATGTCTTGAATAAAAAAGAAGCCCAGAATAATAAAGACAAACGCCAAGATCAAATTGAGCCGATCTTGCCCATGATGCCGCCAACCGATGTTTCCCATCAAGTGACATTGCAAAGCAACTCGGCTTCAAGAATGAACTTGCCCTCTTTGTACTTTTCGGATGACTCGTAGGCCTTATCGTATTTCCACCCAACAGTTTCCTTGCACTGGCGACATGTGATATCGCGGACAACGTGCCGTCCAGTCGTCATGTTACGCTCGTTAGGAGGACCCGTCTCGATATTGACGACGCTGTGGAAGAGGTAGGCCTTCCCGTGCTGTCCGCGGAAGTTCTGACGCCGACGTTAGTGGTCATGGAGACTTGGAGAGGGTAATATCATTCAAAGAGCAGGGACACTCACCCGACTTATGATATCTTCATGATTAGCCAGGTGTGCTTTACATGTCTTGCAGCCGTAGATCTTGCTGCTGCTAAGGTAGGTATTGTAAGCCAGCCCCATGACGCGAGGCCGTAAGGCGAAGCGGGGGCGGGTTTGGCCTGGTGAATGTCGGGGTTCAAGAAACAAATGGTAGCTATCAGAGGGCCTCGTTGATTTGACTTGTGTCTCGCAGGTATTGTTTCAACAGTTGAGAAAGTGAAGATGGACGACAGTGGAGAAGCGGGTTACCTAAGGAGGACGGTAGACATGACATGGAACGTCATGGGGCCAAAGTCAGCGAAGGTGAGGTAGGTACCTAGGTACCTAAGGTAAGGTGAGTTAGGCGGCGGGGGCCTTCTTCGCGAGGCGCCCCTCCACTAGGTTGGTCAAGCCGCCCGGGGAGGCCGGGATTAGTGGAGGTTTCTAGGAAGAGAAATATCGACAGTGATATACCATACCGGGTAGGTAGATAATATTGGTTTCGCCAGCGTGTGCTACAAGTTTGAATGAATATGTAGATATACTATACTGCTTTCTAAACATCTCAACCAGTAGAGCAGGTGAACCACTACGTCCAGTACTAATCTACTCATCAGACAGTAGCAAAGTTTATGCCATGTCTTCCGAGGTTGGGTGGAGTTGCTCTATGTTCAAAACAAGCGTAACACTTGATTGCATGTGTTACTAAATATATGAACAAGACATGCACAAACATAAAGAGCAAAACTCTAGGCACCACAAATTATCTCTTCGTCCTTGTATTCAAAATCATGTGAAAACCACTCCCTCATTTCTTGTCCTTCTTCTTCTTCTTGGCCTCTTCGGCAGCCAAGTCTTTGTCCTTGATGTTGTTGTAGTGCCATACACCGCGTTCTCGATCCTCCTGTAACAGCTTTTGGTCTTCTTCACTGATAGGTACCCCTTCAATGCCCTTTACCTTCTTCCCTTCTATGAACATCACAATACCACCTAAAGCGGCGACAATACAAGCGAGCGCGACAAAGAGACCCGTGGACCAACTGGGACGATCGTAACGGTTCAACCCCCACATAAAGCCCGATAGAACGCACTGCAGGAAAGTATTCCATACCATCAACCATATGACAGCATCCATTCTTGTGATGGGAGTAGGCGGGGCCCGGACTCCTGTCAGGGGAGCATCGGGAATCTTGTCTGGGGGAAACGGACAGGCAAGTGACGAGCTGAGATCAGGCGATGCGGAGATATTATGGGGCCCTATCTGAGGGTCAAGCTGATCAGATCCTGGAAGACGGAACCATCCTCGATGAATGCCTGCCAAGCGCCGGAGTGCAACTTCCTTCTTCTGGACTCGATATTGGAGAAGGAAATACATGTCGCGAAAGCGCCAAGGGGCAAGTCCAAACCCAGTGACACAAAAGAGAGCATTCAGAATTTGGGAATCCCACTCTATCCATTTGCGTCTGGGTGAGTTGATGTCGTTGCATGTGGGAACGCACATTGCTGGTGAAGCATTGCTAGAGTTTGTTAGCCAAGATGTCGCCCTTCCAAAACAGGAATACGGCATAGAATACTTGCCAGAGCAGTAAGAAAAGCATGCCGCCCCAGGCCACGACGTTAAGGCCATAAACAGTAACAAGAAAACCTGTAGGGGTTCTGACATAGTTCCAGAACGCAATCAAGCCGAGCTTTGTAGACTGGCCTGGCGAATGTTTGGGCGGGAAGTGATACCCATTGTCAAAAGGGGCCGCAGCGGCTGGCTCCCCAGTGAAGTTTCGTCTAGGAGATGCTACACTTGTACTGGCTTTTTCCTCGGGCGCCTCTTCGTTGACGGCGGGGATTGTGTTCTGCCTGGGAGTAGTCCCGAAGGACTGGCCTGTTTGCATCGGTATCGAGGGCTCTGAGGGTCTGCGGGCCACCGTTTGTCGCGAGAAGATTGATGATGCGATGGTTCCTGTAGCAGCCATAAAACCCTCCGGAGGGTCGGAAACTTCGAAACTTTGAGAAACCCTACGAAGACGACCGCTCAGAGATGAAGATGCCGCTGGACGATTATTGATATTTGACGGGTCGGTGTCGACATTGGTAGGTGATGCATTGTTAAGACTGGGAAACGGTTCGGTATCAGTTCCATTAAGGGAAGGTTGCCCAGAGGCCGTCATTGTGGCGATGCTGCCTTGGCACTCTCGGATTGGGCGACTGCTGATATTCAATGACGAGTAATGATATTGGGGTAAGCTGTCGAGATGCTGAATTCAATGCATGGATGAATAGTCGTATTATATGATGTTGATTAATTGTAGAGAGGAAACAGATGCGGGTATGATCCACATTCGATGAGCGTGCCGAGCAATCGACAGGTGGGACTGGGCCATTTATCTAATGTTAAGGTAGGTAGGTTAGTAGGTTAGACCCTGCCGCAGTCTAAAAACCTCCACTAGGAGCACAGGCATGAGTGAGTACCTAGGTAATCTAGTAATCAATTTGTCCGGCACATGTCGGCAGGGAAACCAAAGTCAAAAGTCTCATCTCTTGTCCACGATAAGAGCAGCATGGATTCCATTCGTTTGATTCGTCCTCTACATACAGCCCAGAGGTTCATCATCTTTTAGGTAAAGCTAGGAAAGCTAGGGACTAACTAAACTTCCACCTCTTGGTGGGTACCTCCATACCAAGGTTAGTACCTACCATAGTAGCAGGTAGGTACTAGTCCGACTAGGTAGTAGATAGTAGCCCGAAAGAGACGCTCCACTACACAGATGCCGGGCAGTTTAATCCACCTCCAACATTGGTTTAATAGGTAGAAAGAAAAAAGAGACAAAAAAAAAAAAAAGACAATCTTTACTTCAACACGAGGTCTAGAATTTGCAAACCACCATCTTTCTCCCAATCCTCGCTCCCGCGACATCTACAGCTGTAAGCAGTACGTAATTCGTCTGCTACGGCACAAACTTGTCGTAACTTCTTTAGGCGGTGACAGACTGATCGTTCACAGTCCAAGCCAAGCCACACATACTTCATTCAGCCTCACGCGTACTCTGTACAGCAGGACTAAATCCTGAACCGCACCCGACCGATTCCCTGCCATCTCCAGTCGCCCTCCATTGGCACCCATGACGCAGACGTATCAACGTCGCTAATTAAAATGGACTCTCAAAGTGGCCCGGTAGCCGACGTGACTTCGACAGTCCTATACAACCTACAATATCAGCATGATTGGGCCTCCCTCAATGTTTGTGAAACGACAGTTCAGCGGTCTTTGATCAGAGGCTTGCCACCGCGCCGGCTCTACATTCACCCAGACGATCAAATTGCTGCCCTGGAGCGCGAAAAGACTTCTGGAGAACCTCTGGATCAAACCCCCGAGCTCGAATGGGTGCTGGCAGTACATCCCGAGGAAAAATGGACTATCAAAGGGTTTTCAAATATCTTCGATTCTATCGAGCACAAAGGCCCACGAGAGAAGAGGCTCGTTTTGGCAACGGTGCACAACGACTCTACTGTGGTCTATTACCTGATGCACGAGGGTATGGTAAAGCCTCGCCAGAATTGACCGGCTACAGTGCCCGTCTCGGTTCGCTCCTCCTATAGCATGAAAATCACCTTTTGTGTTTTGCGCTGCTCGAAGAGCGCATATCCTTCAGGAGCTTGTGCAAGCGGTAACTTGTGGTCAAATAAGAAGCTATCAAAACAGTCAGCTGCCGAAGTTTGTTCAAAGACAACTTGGGAACACACCCAATTTGATCTTGCTTCTGCTCCAGCAAATTAAGAGCTTCGTTGAAAACGCTGCGCACTGGGCAGCGACCCATCTGCACTCGAATGTTCTTCCTGCAACCAGTTCAGCCAGTCGGTTTTATTGGGTTATGCTTGCGTTCTAGCTCGGGGGGTTCCTTACGTATATGCGTCATCACCTGTCCATGGAATCTACATAGACGATTGTCAGCTTTTCCCTTCTCAAGTCTTCAGCTGGTTTCTGACCTCCTTATTATGAACACCGATGCTGCTTATGGCACCGAATGGCCGCACAATGTCAAACGCCGTTCTCAAAGCGGGTGCCTGCCCGACAACTTCGACTACCATGTCAGCGCCTCGTCCTTCTGTTACCTCTTTTATTCTGGCCTCGAGTCCTGCTCTGTCAGCCTCGAAGTTGAGAGGCTCTGCGCCGAGCTTGCGAGCCTGCTCCAGGCGGCTGTCAACACTGTCGATGGCGAAGAGGTGGCGAGGCTTGTAGTGAGTGGCTGCCAAGATAGCACAGAGTCCAACAGGACCGCAGCCTATGACGACCAACGTAGCTTCCTGGATGTTTTGCGAAGGGACAAGTTCTTTGGCGCTCTTGACACCGTAAAATCCCGTGGGAAATATATCCGCCATGAGTAGGAGAGCCTCATCCGATATTGTTTTGGGGGCCTTGACAGCGGTCCCATCAGCCATAGGGATTCGGACGTACTCGGCTTGTCCTCCATCAAGAGTTTCACAGCCAAATAGTTGGCTCTCAACACAGCGGGCGGAGCAGCCATTGTTACAAAAAAAGCAATCGCCGCTCCAGTAGTCAATGAGTATCATGTGAGTCCGGGAGCAGAAACAGGGACGTACCATGAAGCTGTGAACGGGGCAACGACCTTGTCACCGACGTTGATGGTTTTCACAGCTGAGCCAACCTGCACAACTGTTCCAGTGAACTCGTGGCCCATGATGAAGCCCGCGCCTGATGGTTGGTGGCCGCGATAGATGTGAAGCTCGCTATGGTCATTAGTCAGCTAATGCAACATATTGTTGACGAGAGCGAGCTCCATACGATCCGCACAAGCCTGCAGCATGCACTTTAATAACAATGTCCCTGTCATCACGGACTTGAAAGATTAGTTGTGATGCCTACATCGGACATTGAAAGCATGGTGGAACTTGGGCTGGGAAGCCCAAGTAACTTACTTTGAGGCACGGGTCGATCCTGAACCGAGATCTTATACAGGCCGTCAAACACGACGGCCTGCATGGTTGACGGCAGAGACAAGGTTGTTGTAGCCATGACTGGCGGTGTTCCGTGTAGTCGAATTGTCGTAGACGAGATCTATTACAAGCAAACACAAGACGAACTCGTGTACCGTACCGGTCAAATGCGCCAGTACTGCTAGAGGTCTAGGTAAGCGAGCACTTTGACTTGGAGGCAATACAATTCGGTCAATTGACGATACTGGGCAGAGTTTTGTGCCATTAGTGTGGGGTTGACTATGAGTTTGGCCAACGGCATAGGATGGACACGATTGAGATTTGCCGCATCGCGGTGGAGAATCATTAAGCAAGCTACTGTCTGCTGTGGGTCGAGGCTTGGCTCAGCTCACGGTTGTGAGCATTTCGAATATGTACGAAGTCATCGCGAGGTACGGGTTTGGCAGGAAAGCCTTGGGATGGGGGTTCTTGAGTGATCAAATGCACAATTGGATCCAATGTCATTAAGTTTGCATTGTAATTAGAGAGCGAACCTACCTCCCTACCTACTACTTAAGTAGTCAACCACAGGGGGCCAGTGGGTTGGCGAAATGAGGTTGATGGTATATTGTTGTTACTTAGTGCCGTTTGATAAAGCAGTGCGTGCATCAGATCACTGAGGCTGCGTTTTGGTCATGGTTCCCATTTTCTCCATCTCCATCTCTGCAAAGTATGTACTATCATGGTTGTCGGCCAACTACTAACCCTGGACCGATACCGAGTCAGTCGACGTCTGGGAACTGTACTGTAGTCTATCCTAGTCTACAGCAGAGTAGGTCGCCCAGAACGGGAATGGAATAGTTTACATGAACGGGCTTGGCGAACAAGGCAGGTGATTAATTAGCCATGCCAGACGTCGTCGACTGACAGTTCCGCCCAGACTGACTGGAGGGGATGTAACTGTGACAGCCCAGATCGATTTTCTGCGTCATTTACTAACTATGCGTTGTGGATTCTGTGAGGATTCTAGAACAAGAACTACCTTAGTGCCTCTAGTAGGTACCTATGCTGACATTTGTACCAGGTACAGCCGCCTTGTAATAAATTAAATACCTAACATTGACCATACCAGCAGGCTCGCTCTCACTTCTGTGTTGATACGTGAGGTGTGAGGCTACATTTCTACCTACTTTCTCATGGAATCAAAGTCCCTGAAAGTGTAGGTACTATAGGCAGTCAGAGCCAGCTAGGTACTAACATATTAGGTGCATGCATTGTACTGTATCTGTACCTGTACCGCGGCCGGCAACGCAGAAAGCGGTCGGTTCACCCCAGGATCCATGTCTGAGAAGGAGACAGAGCCGCTTTTTGTGGACAGTTTGTGGAGTGTCCAATGATGAAGTACAATGGTCTTTTAGATGAACAGTACACGATGCACAGTGAGGGAATACCCCACAAGGGGCTCGTTGAACTTATCCACTTCCCCTCGTCCTGCGGCTGGGGCAGTCCTCTGGGGTTCACCAATCAAATTGTCTCGTACGTCTTTTGGCGGGACGCGCGAGATATTTGTCGGTGGTTGTCAGACGAGGCGGCTCTTTTTGGCTCGGTGAGATCATCACCGCCTAAATGCATTAACAGCACGTTTTATACTGTACAGTACTGTACAGTTCTGTAACCAGAGAGAGAGAGAGAGAGAGAGAGAGAGAGAGAGAGAGAGAGAGAGAGAGAGAGAGAGAGAGAGAGAGAGAGAGCGCTTTTCTTCCGTCACAAAAGACCGTACTTGTCTACAATATAATACAAGGTAGCAATGCGTAGAACAGATCGCCTGCATCACACACATGTCGACATGGTAGTGGATGTAGAAGCTTAGACAAGCGACCCCAGTGGGGATTTGGAGAGGGGAAAGGGAGGCCTCGGCAGGAGCATCCAGTCGGGTCCCCAGACAATAGTAGGTAAGTTTCCGTTTGTGGATGAGGCTCCAACTAGGTAGGTAGGTAGTAGTCTACCTAGTTATTATACTGTAGATGCTGTACCAATTGAGGCTCATTCCGTGGTACGAGCGGCATTGGATCTAATCCACAATTGCAATCCGTGATAACAAGGGTCAGTCATTCAGTTCAGTTCAGTCACACAACCAACCCAAGTTTTATCCATGTCGGTCAAGCGTAGGTACCTAAGAAAGATGTCGCTTAAGACGCACGATAAAGTGACGTACAAGATCAGTAGCATTGGATTCCATGCTTATACTTGATTTCTGTCTGGATATAAAACAGGTAGGTACTGACTAACTCCATTCGATCCCTACTGACCTGCCTACACATTACTCAGTAAAGCACAAATGACTTCCATTTATCTGCTAGGAGTCTGGACGGCCTACCTACCTTTAGGTAAGTGCCTAGTACAGTACAGTACAGTACTGTACTAGCAGAGCCCCATCCGACCCCTGACCCCCTGTCTCCAACCGGCCTACCACATGTTACAGATATCTCAAGGGCCGAATATTTACCACCTTTTTACCCCATCCCCATCTTTTCCTTTCCACCTTTCCCCATGGCTCACGGTCCATGCCCAAGTTGGCGGGCATGTCCTAGGACCCCCAGCCCCTCCAAGTCCCTTCCTTTCCCTTGCCTTGCCTTGTCTTGCCCTTATCCTTACTGCATCCCATCAAACTCGGCGTAGTCTCCATAGTCTAGTCGCTGGCACTGTACTGGATGCTACAGTACCTGAGTACCTCATCCATCTAACAGCTAAGTTAATACGGATACAGTGCTCTGTACCCTGTAACCTGGTGTCAAGAAGTGGAGGCATCGATATTGGGAAGGAAGCAGAAATGCACGGCAGTCCATCCATCCATACTCTATCTATTACCTTGCCTGCTTGCCCAGTAGGAAGAAAGGGCTCCAGCTTAGACTACCTAGGTAGGTAAGTTACCTTAGTAGGTATGTACCTAACCTTTCATCCATAGGTACTAAGGTAGGTAGCAATTCCATCCATCCCCCAGACTTTTTCCATTTCACTTCATGCTCCGCATCCCATCCGCACTCTTCCCACTTCCCAAAAAACTATTCGGTTCTCTACCTAGGCTCTGTACATATCAACACTTCAAACCTGACCTTCTAGTAAGGTAACCGTGCAAATCAAAAGCTTCGTACCTACCTAGGTACCTTGATACCTTGCCGGTGCTCCAATAACGTCTGGCCACACACTTTGGCACAACCGACGTCCGAACCACCGCCTCCGCTTCTTCTTGATATCGCGCATGCACTCACTCACCTCACCTCAACGGTCATCAAATCACCAAATTCAAAATTCCTTAAACAACGGTGTATTGCCACGGGCCATAGCAACCTAGGCGCGCTCTTTTCACACAATCTGAGGGCTCAAATCCACCGCATTTAGCGCAAATCACACCTGACTTGCTGCGCTGACAGCCTTTCTCACGACGTACATTCAAGTGGACGTTCCTTTGCCCGAACGACTACTGTGCGCAGAATTTGATCGTTCTTGGAGCCGCGTCAGACGGCCGTCCGTCGTTCCATGTCGACAAGAGGACACTAGTATACGGGTTATCACGAGCAAATTGTCGGCAAGGAGCTGTGTGTGCATTCGATCCTTTGTGCACACTCTCACTCGACCGCTACCATACCTTCCTTCACCCTTCTCGCCTCTTCAAACTTCTCTTTATTAGCGCAGGTCGTTCTTATAAGTCTTACTGCAAGTATCCGCACCGGCGCGTAATACAGCGAACGATAAAGAGTCCCCGACGTCCCAACCCCGCGAGGGGCCATGGCGAGTTGAGCAACCGCCGTCAACGCGACAACGATGACCACAGCTACGCAGCAACAGCAGCACCAACCACCACAGCCTCACCTCGGCTTCATTGTCGATACATACGATCCGGATGACGTGGTTCCTCGGGGGAGCCCCCTCATGACCCCGCTCCGTCCTAAGCTCGAGCCGTCTCCAAGTCCTCCCCCAGATATACCTGCAACTCAAGTCAGTCTTAGTCCTTCCTGTATCGGCGGTCGCGACAAGTCTAATCGCCACAAGGTCCGTCCAACTTCTGGGGATGCCGTCCTAGTCGCATATCTCGACAACGGACGCGACCCTGAAATCGCTCGCGCAGCTGGCCGCGAAAGTCTTCCATGCGACGAAGAATCTCCAGATGAAGATGCACCAGATAGACGAGTGGATGGGGATCTCATCAGCGGGCCGTCGCTTCGGCATCTCGCGGCGGACGCATTGCAGGCTGCCTCGTTAGCTACAGCGCCAGCATCGCTTCCAGCTACAGTGCCTAAGACAATCCCCGATATATCGATACCGACTGGTCAGCTGTCCATTCACGACGAGCCTCCACCCACCAGCTTAAATCCAGCACGATATACTTCTGGCAACAGAGTCACGTCACCACTAATTTCTTCGCCCAGTGGACCCTTACCACCGCTTCACAACGGGGTTCGTGCGCCAGTTGGCGAACACAAAGAGACCCTACCGTCACAGTCTCTTCCATCTCTACGTTCTACCCTCGGAGAACTTAGGGATTTGGCCACTGAGCATTTGCCCGAACAGGATCTTGGACGTGTCCCTTCGGGGCCATCCACAACATTCCCTACCTCACCTGCAGGAAATATTGGGCATCGCTTCAGTGTAAGCACCCTTCCGTCTTCGCCTCGTTCACCACCCGAAGGTTACAGGACACTTTCCCCGCATTCTGCTCCGAGTGCCGGTATTCATTACTATACGACAAGTAGCACCCACCCTCGCGCCCCAACGGAATACAGTAGCAGCAATGCTGGTGAGACTCCAAACACAGATCATTCCGCTTCTACACCCGCCACTTCTACCTCTATCAACTCTACCTCTATCACTGATCGCATGAGTATTGACGGTATTACACACCCGCAACCTATCTCCGGCTCCTACACATGCACAGTGCAGGGATGCAATGCTGCACCCTTTCAAACCCAGTATCTTCTTAACTCTCATATGAATGTGCATTCGTCAGCCCGGCCGCATTACTGTCCGGTAAAGGGGTGTCCAAGGAGCGAAGGAGGAAAGGGTTTTAAACGCAAGAATGAGATGATAAGGCACGGTTTGGTCCATGACTCTCCGGGCTATGTGTGCCCCTTTTGCCCTGATCGGGAACATAAGTATCCACGCCCGGATAATTTACAGAGGTACGTTACTTTACAAGCTTGAGAACATCTTGTTGAATTTGTAGCTCTGAACTCGGATATTGACTCTGACAACTTATAGACATGTCCGTGTTCATCACGTAGACAAAGACAAAGACGATCCACAACTACGAGATGTACTCGCTCAGCGGCCTGATGGACCTAACCGTGGTCGGAGAAGACGCGGTCCACCTTCGTGATTATTCCCAGCCCCAAGCAACGTTTGCTTTTTTCTTTCTTTTTTTTTTCTCCCGGCCTTCGATATCGAAGATGGAGGAGGAATGACTTACGACAACGCTATGAGGCGCAGTCTTTATTGGGATTACGTGTATGCGTGTTGATGGAGTGATAGGTTGGACAGGCTTCCCATTTGTTGCCAAGGGTGTTGATCTAGCGGCTGAGTTTGGACTGTGACAGATTAGGCGTTCAGGATTTTGGATACCCAGCCGGGTCGATTTTATTCATCATGACTTTTCCCCCTTTCCTTTTGGCAATGTACCATTCACGCCGGAACGGCGTTGGCTAGCGAAATAGCGTTTGTTACGTTCGATTCTTGATATACAGCACTATGATACTGTGATGCCTATCATCGGTCTGCATCTCTAGTGTTTCGATAGGCGTCTGTTGACGACGAGATTGTGTTTTCTTAAGCCCTTTCGGAGTTGGAGATCCTGTCTAAAGGAGTGACCAAGGCCCGACGTTGACAGGTCCGTCGCTGTGAATTTCTATTTCGATGCACTCCTCTGGCTGGGATATGCCCATGCTCTCAATCACCAACCACATTCCCTCTCGTTGTATTCTTGCCGGCTCCATGTCCAATTCAGGGGTTCGCACGACGGCTTTGAGCTCTTCATATTCGCCTTCACCCGATGTTGCGATTGTAGTTCGCTCTGGATCCCATCCATGTGCTACTGAAACTCGAACCATTAGAGTTGACGAGGGCCGATTGCTAGGATTCGAGTCGGGACCGCAGACACTTCTTGCAGTAACGCTGATTCGAGTTAACCAGGAAGCTGAAAGCTGCGCCCGCCGTACCTCCTCCCCGTCCGAAAGCTCGAAAGGGGCGAGTGTCTTGCGTAGTCTCCCCGCGGCCTCGGCAGGAACTGGCTGGATAGTCACGTCTGTCATGGATGAAACGCGGAGGACAAAGTCGGCAAGCTGGCCTGCTTCAAAGGTCGAGCAAACGAGAGTATATACCCCGGCGTCAACATGGGGAATGTTGGCTACTGCACAGCCTCTGCGATATTCTCCAGATGAACCTGCTAGATCGCGAACCTTGAGTGTCTGAACCCGCCTCCCTTGAGACCAGACTAGATCAATATGCACGTGAAAATCCTGCATGTTGGTCGAAAGCAGTATAGAGAGAGGGCCTGCAAGTGCAAGTGATAACCTGTACTGCGGATTAGCGGCATATGTGGTACAAGCCGCGCTTCCCCCTGCGGACCTTCTGGTCCACGATCCAGTCACTTCTTTCATGAGCGCCATTGCATCATCAGCCTCCTTGACTGTAAGTTGATCTTGTGACAAAATTGAAAGAGTGAGGGTGTAATCTGGAAGCGGGAACTCATGCTGGTCAATCACGACGGTATATCGCTTCTTCGGACTTGTGTGAAAACGTGCAAGGGTCTGTGGCGAGTCGACGTAAGGTCCGCGGTAAATGTCACCATCAGAAACTTGGACTCTGTGGCCCTGATTATCAAATACAAGGATACTCATGTAGCCAAGCTGACCAGAGGCGGCTGCCATTGTGTCGGTTCTGTTGCGAGAAATTTCGAGCTCGGCATCCACAAAGTGCCTGCTGACAAGAATCCAAACCAGCCCTCCGGTGGGTGATTGCAGTGAGTATTGTGGGTTGCATAATAGGGAAGAAGACAACTCTGGGGGTGGTATATGCCAAGTGAAGTGGTGGTCCTGTCGATGTGAGAAGAGCGACGGGTTCCAGTTGAGGTACATGGACTCAAAGTGTTGGAGGACATCGTCTAGGGTCATCCAAAACGAACCGGTAGCAGAAGGTGCGGATGCCTCGGGGGATTTTGTCGCCGAGTCAAATTTGTGCGGTTGTGAAATGCTCCCTTTCCATACCGGCCCATCACACCAAGGATTCTTGACCAAGAGCCTCCGACTTTCAGCGACAACCTCCAAGTCCATGATGGCATAGTCATGTTCTCCGACCAATCCAAGAAGATCCTCTTCTTCAGCCGAGATTCTTCCCGTGCCTAATGTGACGACAACGTTCTCAGAATCATGTGCATTTTTTATCCGTGTCCACAGTCTGTCGATTTCTAGGTCTTCCCTATACAAGCAATTGAAAGGTGAGTCTACGTCGTATGATCAAAGTAATGAACGAGGATATAGGAGGAGGTCAAAGGTAACAGTTTATGAATAGCGGAACAAGCGTGCTCACCTTTGAAGGAAAATCTGTTCAGGAATCCAACCAGTAAGCACCCATAAGTCTGTACCAGAGTTGCTCCCCGGAAAGTCGTAACCGCCCCTTACTTTAAGATAGGCTTTCTCCAAAAGAGCCGGCCAGAGTAGTTGAGGGTTCAACCGATCAACAACATAGAGTGTGCGGTTTGTAAGGGAAGAAGGAAGCCGCTCATCGATGATAACACGGCGGAAGCAGCCGTTGAAATATAGCTTTAGCACGTATTTGCCTGAAGCAGAAACTCTAGGTATGCCCCGTGATTTATCAAAGGGATACAGGATGGATGAGAGAACCTGTGAACGCGTGTCAATATAACAAACAAGACCAGCCCTAAATATCGATAGCCTTACCGAGTTTCGACCGGTCAAGATACGCATGGCAGCGCATAGACTGGCCACCACAGAACAATCGGTTGTAACATCTTGAACAAGATCACACCCGTGGCTCGAGTTCATCAAAGCATCCCTATCTGGTTCGATGTCATGGTGCAAGTCCCGTGGACGCCTCCATCCACCAAAGGTAGCAGCCTGTCTAGGAGACAATGTAAAGGTAGCATTGTCCCTGGGGCAAGGTCAACGATGGATCCGACAGTAACGTTGGCCTAGGTCTTACGTGAAAGGATCATGGCCGGGAGGAAGTTCAAAGTCTTCATCAGAGGGCTCATTTGACCATGGGGGAAACAGATTTCCATGAAGACGTGACGTTTGCAACAAGACACCGGGCGTCTGCGTGAGATGCGCTTTGAGCCTTTCCGCCTGCGCAATGAGCTGTTGACATTTCAGCCGCAAGCGGGTAGCATCTTTCTTGGTAGGAGCCTCCCCAGCAGCTCGCATATACAGCTCGGCGGCCTGGACGGTATGGTCGAGGGCCGCCTGGCCGCTCGATGCTGGGATAAGAGACTCAGTGGCCTGGGATGGAGATGGTCAATGGGATCCGTGCCAGACCAGAAGACAGACAAAGTACGAGTGAACTGACTAACCTGAGCTCTCTTTTCCATCGCCGTTCACTGGAACATGGCCTCTGGATCAAAGGTAGGTAATTCTTGTGAGGTTTATCGATGGGTTCTCGGTGACATTGAACATCTAGGCGACTAACGGACGCCCCCTTGGTGGGGGGTCATCTCCACTTATGCGATCTCTGTAGTATAAACTTACTGCCAATATTTAAATACTTAAACTTACTTAAGTTAAAATTATTTATAAAGATATATAGTACTAGCTTAGAAACTAAACTTAATAGAATAAAACTTATAATTTTCTTTTTTCTTTTCTTTTAATATATTATATTTCAACTTTTAAATTCTTAAGTACGTAGGGAGTTAGGTCTGTGCTTTAAGTGCCTCTCAGTAGGTCAAGTTTCTTATACTTACCTAGGTACCCAAGGTACCCATTCTAGAAAATTACGTAGTGCAACAGGGCCCAAGGTTAGTACCTAACCGAGGTAGGTGCCGTATCCTCTCCCGGGACAGAAAATGAAATCACAGGCGGGGATGGAATCTGCCGAGACCGGTGGACTCGAACCTCGGCCCCGAATCGGTCGCGGGTCATTTAATCTTTTGATAACGATACGATGCCCTGCGCTGCCCGGGCCTTGCCTGGTAACGGTCAGTCATCTCTGACCTCGCGACAGTCACCAGTGACTAGAAAGCTGTATCTCTACTCGACTTGACAAGAATTCGGCCAACATTTGTCACATTATGGCTGCGCAATCTAAACCTGAAATCTCCCCATGGGGTCGCGCCGTGGCTGGCGCAACAGGCGCTGTCCTGGCCAACGCGCTGGTTTACCCCCTAGACATGTAAGTTGCCATCTATCTATCTACTTGGTTGACAAATGCTAAAGATAACTGATGCAGTGTCAAGACTCGCCTTCAAGTCCAAGTCAAACCAGATCCCACCAAAGGCCCTTCCACGACCGACGAACCACACTACACCTCAACTTGGGATGCCATCTCGCGGATAGTTTCTGATGACGGAATCAAAGGCCTATACGCTGGCATGAACGGTTCCTTGATTGGGGTCGCGTCAACCAACTTTGCCTATTTCTACTGGTATACCATAGTCAGAACTTTGTATTTCAAGTCACGCAGGACAGACGCGAGCCCTTCGACCATCGTGGAGCTGGCTCTAGGTGCTGTTGCAGGAGCCATTGCCCAAGTCTTTACAATCCCTATTGCGGTGGTTACCACGCGTCAGCAAACAGCCAACAAGTCTGATCGCAAGGGTCTTATAGCCACAGCCCGTGAGGTTGTTGATGGCCCAGATGGTGTGTCGGGACTTTGGCGTGGACTCAAGGCCAGTCTGGTCCTTGTCGTTAACCCTGCTATTACTTATGGCGCGTACGAACGGCTAAAGGAGGTGCTATTCCCGGGAAAAGCTAGCCTGAGACCAAGCGAGGCATTCCGTAAGTCTGAAGTCTGAGCCGTCATCAGATCTAGAATCTAATCTAACTATGCGGGCAGTGCTGGGTGCTATGTCGAAATCACTTGCGACTATTGCTACTCAACCTTTGATCGTGGCCAAGGTCGGCCTTCAATCCAAGCCACCACCAGCCCGCAATGGCAAGCCCTTTACCAGTTTCGTCGAGGTTATGAAGTTCATCATCGAGCATGAGGGTATGCTGGGGTTGTTCAAGGGCATTGGACCGCAAATCCTCAAGGGACTTCTCGTCCAAGGAATTCTGATGACAGCAAAGGAGAGGTAAGGCATGGGGTATTGTGCAACGAATCGCCACCGCTGACACGTTTTGATTAATTGTAGGGTTGAGCTGATGTTCGTCCTCTTCATCCGATACATCAAGTCCATCCGTCTTCGCAAAAGCAACCGGGCCACCGAGAAGACTGCCGCCGCCGCCGCCGCTGCAGCTGCACACAGCGTTGCGGCCAAGCCGATGACAACCGTGTAGAATAGGACAAGATCTGAAGGTTAGTCCTGATCAACATCAGTTGTGTTGATCTTCCAAGGAAGGAACTTGCCAAAAGTGGGAATGGGAAATAGGAACAAGTGTTTTTGTGTGTAATTGATAATTAGCGTAAATGACTTCCCGCTGCATTGATGCTGCGCCTAAATGTCTTCGATTCGCCTACTGGAGTGACCAAGGTAATAGGCATGTACCCACGTTCCTTTTCATGCTACTCGTAGTTCTGTACTATGTACTTAGGTATGTAGGTGCATGTGAGTGGATGTTTGTGTCGTGTTGATAAGGGAATAATCAATGCCGTGGCTCAGGAGTTTTTAGATCCGCAGATGGCAAAATAAAAGGTTAGCAACTGGATCTTGAGGTAGGCTACGGGCAGTATAGACCCTCAAGGTCTAAATTACGACATCAAGTGCTTTAATAGCGAGTGAGCAGGCTACTAGGTATAGTGAGATATGGATGTTATTTTGTCACCTACTCTGTACTCGCTCGCACGTGCAAGCTGCCCTCCACCAGAATTAGGTAAGCAAAGGGGACCCACAACTTCTCTCTAGGGCTTCGAGTAGATCGCACACACAAATCTAGCTTTCTCCTCCAACTTCTTGATCCGTCTCCGTTTCCGTCGACACAGGGAATCAATCAGCAGCAATGGCGAGTACGTGCGATCCTAATAGAATCCTCAAAGAGACTGCCTACAGGTCACTGACACCGTCACAGAGTCAAAGAACAGCTCCCAGCACAACCAGTCGCGCAAGGCGCACCGGAACGGGTATTTATCTCGAAATACACCAGTAGCTGGCAATCATTAACTCGCGAACAGAATCAAGAAGCCCAAGACTTCCCGTTACCCCTCTCTCAAGGGTACCGACCCCAAGTTCCGACGAAACCACCGACATGCTCTTCACGGCAACATGAAGGCTCTGGTACGCTCACACCCTAGACTGCAAACGAATGTCGGACATCTGCAGGTGGCTAACAAGTTTAACAGAAGGAGGCTAAGGAGGGCAAGCGCGAGACTGTCTAAACATCCGACAGAGGAATATCGAGGCGTCAATTTGGAGTATTCGTATTGCTCGGTTACGGCACCCACACGATAGAACCTACGCAAATGAACGATGGAAATATCATGCGGTTAACCCGACGAAAAAAGGTGGTGGATGCCGACACGTCCCGGCGAATGATGCTGTGACAAACCCCGAGGAAAGCATGTGTAACATGAGGTAGAATATCGAAACTTCTACCTGAACTCCAAACCTCAAGTCCCATTCCCAATCCCACAAATGCATTTGCTGGTCAAGTACTGCCTGTATCCCTCCTGGGACTAGTCGCGTAAAGTGACAGTTTGGATCTGAGCCCAATAACGTTGCGGCTAATCCCGACTATTGCTGCCTTGCCTAATGACAGAACCTGCGATATATCTTGTGCTTGCCTTGTGTCACGCGTGGGTGTGTATAACTCTACCTAGATGCGGCTTTTGATGCCATTTTCTTCTTTCTGGGCTCGATGGGTAGTACAATGTTGCTCTCAACTGCATTCGTAAATACAAGTACCTCACCAACTAATCCTTTTCTGGGGACATTTCCGAATTATCCAGAAATACTGTACCCATACCATCCTAACGTAAATTTTGCCACCCTGAAACTCGGTAGCGCCTCAGGCAACTAAATGTGTATGTAAATTTGAACAGACAAGGATTAATGGCCTTTTTCTTCGCTACCGATAGGCCAGGTGGGCCCTTGGCGGGCGGGCGAACCCAATTAGGTAAGCCCAGGGGCTGAGGACTTCGCTGTGAAGAGAGGAACACGAATCCAGTAGACTACCTTTTGCTCACGACTCTTTCTCTGTCCTCCGACGAGTTCATCAATAAAGGACACCGGTCCGTTACTTCAAACAGCGGCGGGATTTAATCAGGATTACTGTGGCCTGCCTGGAAGCAGACTTCGTCCCTTCTTTGCCCATCTCCTTATCTTACCCAAGATAAGGTATTATTTATATCCTCGGTATGACTGTCCCTTTCCCGCCCCTCGCCCCTCGCTTGCTTGTCTAAAGGTGTCGGATCAAGCTGGACAGGATCATCTTTCTATTCAATCTATTTCTAAGACCTCTCTAACAACCTTGTAGCGCTGTTCGTCGTCTGGCAGACAATGTTCTAAATTTCCCGCCTTACTTGAAGTCTAAGCTCCTTTGAGGTCAGCCGGTCACTGCAGGAGTCGAAAGACGATTCTTGTATCGTTTTGCTTGTTATCGTCACAATTTGCCCACTTTGCCTCTGCAAACTATCTTGTCCTTACATTCACCCTTGATAATGCACAGTATGTCGGGCAACCACGTCATCGGAAACAGGAATAGCACTCCCGAGGCCAACAGCACCTCGACCTTGCGACCGCCTTCCTCCAGAGCTGTTGGTTCCGGGCATTCACTTCGCGCCTCTGCCGACATGGCATCACTCTCTGGCCCATCTCCCTCTAGCCGTATTCGACCGTCTTCCGACTTTTACGGCCAAGCTCAGCAGAATCTTGGTCCGAGCAACGCAGAGACGGACTCGCAGGATAAGATTGCTCAGCAATGGATTGCCGATATCGACCAGTACGAAACCACATTGGAGGAAATGGCTGCTGCGACCCTGGATCAAGATTTTAAGGATGAACTCAGTGCCATTGAGCAATGGTTTCGTGTGCTGAGTGAAGCTGAGCGTACTGCTGCCTTGTATGCATTGCTGCAACAGACGACCCAGGTTCAAATTCGCTTCTTCATCCAGGTACTTCAGCAGATGGGAAAGAATCATCCGCTGTCTGGGGTGCTCTCCCCTGCCAGTTTCGACAAAGGTATGGTAGATACCGACAAAGGCTTGCTGTATATCTAACACAGCTGCAGACCCTATGTCCAACCGCCTTAGCGATGCCATGAACAAACTGAACGTCGACTCAGCTCGGAACTCTATGGCACGCAATTCGGTCATCGCATCCTCCACCAAACGACACTCCGGACTCGATCCTTCAACCATCAGCGCCATGTTCCCCGACGCCGCGGCAGCCATCGCAACGGAGAAGGCTAAATTTACCCAGCAGACAGGAAACCCACCCTCGTCGAACCGCAACAGTATCGCTCTAGACCATCGGTCGTCGATGGCTGCCCCATCCATCAGCGCGCCACATGACATTGGTGACCAGGGACCCGCTGCCTCGCCTTGGAACAGTGGTGGGAACCCAGACACTTCTGCCAAAACACCATCCGGCCAGGCGCCGATGGGTCAATTCGTTCAGCCGGCACCGTCAGGTGGACTTCGATCACCCCGTCCTCAGTTGTCGAGCAACAACACAATCCAACAGACAACCCTTACTGCGCCAGAGAAAGCTTCTGCAGATCTGCCTTTGCTCTCGCCTTACAACGCCGGTAGTGGCAACTGGGCCTCCATGGTTAACACCCCAATGACCAGTACTTTCAATGCAGCTGCCACCGGTGGCAACCAAGCTGATATGGTTGCCAATGCTACAGCTATGAAACTCGCCGCTCTTTCGACAGTAAACAACCGGTTCGCGCTTGACGATGTTAGGAAGTACCGGCGCACCCGATCCAACGATGGCACACCTGGAAACGGCCAGAACCCTGTATCAGCCGGTCCCCAGCCTGGGATCAATCTTCCCAACGCTAATGTAGTCATGATTAACGAGCACGGGCAAGTTCTAAGCCGTGAGCAGCTCATGGCTCTTCAGGCGCAGCAGAACCTTGGCTTGGGTGGTCAACGTTCTCGTCCCAGTTCCCCAGGACTTGCCATGCAACCTGGACTGTCACACATGGCACCATTCAGCTCGCCACAAAACAACGGGTTTCTTAGCGCTTACGACGGATCCTCGCCACTGTTGAGTGCCGGGATGCAATCTGTTAACCTGGGCAGTCTGGGAATGGGAGGGCATGAAGGTTATCTATCGGATCATTCTGACATGAATCGTGGACGGTCTCCTCGCGGTCGTCGAGGCAGCTCAAAGCCCCCTGAGGATCCCACCGATCCAACCCTACTGCAGGATATTCCTAGCTGGCTACGAAGCCTTCGTCTTCACAAATATACCGACAACCTGAAGGATATGAAATGGACGGATCTTATTGAGTTGGACGACAAAGCCCTGGAAGCGCGTGGCGTAAACGCCCTTGGCGCACGCCGGAAGATGCTCAAGGTCTTTGATCAGGTCAAGGGTGAGTTTCAAATAAGATTAGTCGCCTCCAAGCATGTGCTAACTTTCTTTTAGAAGCCAAGGCCGATGGAAAACTGGGCTAGAAACACCGTGACCGGGCATGCATGCACAAAGACCTTCAAAAACGGAGTGTGAAGTGGTCTGTTTCCTTTCAGATAGTGTTGTATTTCTTTCAAGACCTTGACAGCTTCGTCTTTCTTAAACCAAAGGAAAGACGTCAGCCTGCGAGGCGTAGAATAATACTTGAGCGCAAGAATTACGAGTCACCGCGACATGATGAGTTGATAATAACGTCTTGTGTCTTTACAATAAACTGTTTATTCAATTCAAATCCGATTCGTGATATGTAGCCGTCCATGTTGCCTTGCGATTTGGTTCTGCTGTTGCTGGGCGCGCTTACCATAACCCACAACCTGATGGGAGCCCAATCACGCGACTAGGTACCCAGGTAGGTAGCCACGATCGCTGCGCCACATATCGCCCAATAAATATCGTGGGCCCGCACTGATGGGCGTGACAACGACAAACATTACATTTCACCACAATCAAGATTACTCATGCATGATGTTGAGCGACCGCAGTCCGGAATTGCTGGAAAGGTTTGTCTCCCTTTCGCTCTGGTACAACAAAATAATAAAATTTTGCTGACCGCACTAGGCAATCTGAGAATGCTTCCGATGCAGACTCTGACCTGGAGGAGTTGGAAGATGATATTGCCAAACTTGACCAGACAGTTAGGGACTTCATAGCCGTGCAACGCGATGAGGTTGTCCCATCCGCGTCGTCTCTCCCTGGACTACGAGGGAAGGGAACTCGTGGACCACGAAAAGCAGCCAAACCTAGAGGTGACATCACAGCGCGACTATCAAAAGTGAACCAGGCTTTCCTGGGCGGCGACTATTCGTTAGCACGCGACCTCGTTTTTGAAGTCATCAGAATCAATGCAGAGACTCACCAAGCATGGACAACTTTGGCATCCATATTTCGCGAACAGGGCGATATGAGCAAGTCACTATCAGCCATGGTCTATACTGCTCATCTTCGTCCAAAAGATGTCAATGGTTGGCTTCGATGCGCAAGATTCGCACTGGAGAATACCGGGGAGGACGAAGCCGGGAGCCTTAATACTGCAAGGCTTTGTTACTCCGCCGCTCTACGCGTTGACGCCACAAACCAAGACGCGAGATTAGGTAAGGGCTTGGTGTGTCACAAACAAGGTCATCTTGCTGCTGCTATCTCCGACTACAAGGTCGTACTGAAGCATCGCCCATACGACCTTGAAATTGTCAGAAAGCTCGCAGAAGCTTGCGTCGACAACAAGCAAGCAGATGCAGCCGTCCCAAGCGCAATTGCAGCCTACAAGCGATTTTTTGAACATGAGAAGACGAAACCGGGTCTAGAGCAAGCAGAAGGACCGTGGATTGATATCGGAATTTACGTGGAGCTGTTCGCGTCAACAGGTCGCTATCAAGAAGCCATCCAAGAGGCGAAGGCGCTAGCCAGATGGGTTTTGGGCCGAGAATCCGAGTCCTATTGGTGTGCTTGGTTTTCAGATGACCGTGAATGGGATGTAGACGACGAGAGACGAGCATCTGTTCCAGAATTCAGATCAGGACTTTGGAGCCCTGAACTTTATGGCACATCATTCCCGTTGGATCTCCGTGCTCGTTTAGCAATTTACAGATTTAGACTCGGAAACGAGGAAGAAGCCATGGTACGTAGCAAAACTATCATAACATCAATTATACTGACAATCAACGACAGAAGCACCTGTGCTGGTTTGACCCTCAGTCTCATCTTACTCGAGTATTTGCCAACGAGTTTCCGTTCTTGACTTTCGATCTGGCGGAAGAATTGGCCCACCGTGGTCATACCCCGCTGGCAATATCGTACTACCGCATCCTTCGGGATCTGCCTGGTGATCCTGATGCAACAATCTTGTTGCAACTAGGACGATGCCATTCTGCTGTGGGAGAGAACGCAACTGCTGAAGAATATTTTCTTGCTGCAATCGATGCGGATGAAGACAACATCGATGCTCGTATTGAACTCGCCAACATGTATGAGAAAGCTAGAGAAGAAGAAGAGGCTCTTATCTTGGCAGCAGAGGCGATGGCCCTTCGAGAGATTCGCGACCAAGACCACAATAATGAAGATGGCCATGGCCACATAATAGGTACTGAACAGCCTTGCCGCCGAACCCAGCGACAGGCTCAGGCTGTTCCTCGAAGAACCGATGTTTTTGGAAAACGACTTATTACACGACGCTACCGACCAAAGCGTCTAGCTGGCGCAGAGAAGCGTCGGCAAGAGGAGCAAGCACGTGCTGTAAAGCTGGCGGAACAGTACGAGATCGTCCAAGATTTACGACGGAAGATCAAAGAGGGATGCCATGACTTGATACCAGAGTGGATGGCTTCTTCGAAAGAACTTGTGGACGACTTCCGATCAATCAAGAAATTCTACTCCTGGGATAAGTACCTGCATTTCCTGGGGCCAAAGAATCATTCGCAGCAACAAGAAGCAGAGAAGCCTCAGAACGAACTCTCACAGATGTATGAGAGACTTGCAAGAAGTAAGTGCATCAAGTTCTGTGGACAGGTTAACACACTGACTTTGAAATTTTTGCAGCTCTCGCACCTCAACCTAGCAACGGAAATGGCGAAGACGGTTCTACAGACCTCGATGGTCACCAGGGCATTTCTTTCAACAACTGGCTCGACCTTTTTCTTGATTATGCGATTGGGCTAGCTATTGCCCATCGGCGTGAAGAAGCTTATCAAGTTTGTGAGGCTGCCAGGGATTCAACTGCTTTTCGAGGACCAGAGCATGGGTTTATCATTCACGTCGCATGGAGTGGTAAGTTACTTGTGGAAGGCGAAATCCAGCATGCTGATGGATATAGTTTGTGCTATTTATACGAGCGATGAGGAGAAATGCATCGCGACTGCTCGCCAGCTAATGCGAGAAGGTGCCACGTCTGATTCCTATCGTATGTTTGCTTTGGTGTCGAACCTATGCCAATCTCCCGTGTCCTGGTACACATCAGGACCGGCACAGAAGTACATCCTCCGGCAGATTAAAGCCATGGATGAAGTACATGGGGACACGGAGTCCAGTACTGGGCTAGAGAGGAAGAAAGGATCGCCCCTGGATGCTTGCGTGTTGATGCTTTACGGGCACATTCTTTTTACATCAACAAGCTACACATACGCTTTAGGTAGGAGAATGGAGCTTACCGCGACGCACTTCAACTAACTCCTGGATAGGGTATTTCCTGCGGTCCCGTGCCCTCGATCCTGACAACCTCATGGTGAACCTGAGTCTTGGACTTGCCTATGTTCATTATGGACTTAAAAGACAGTCGACTAACCGGCAATACCTCCTGCTGCAGGGCCAGTCGTTCTTATCGCATTACGCTGAACTAAGCTCTAAAAGGCCAGCTGAAGAGAGAGATCGGAGTAAAGCTGAGGCCTATTACAACATAGGTCGCTTATATCAACTCTTAGGTGTAAATTACCTTGCTCTAGAGTACTACCAGAGAGCAGAGAAGATACTACAGGATAACAGGGAGCAGGAAAATATACCTACTAAACTTACTACTATAATTCTAAGTAATAAGTATATTTTACTTACTATTAATAAGTATAATTATAAAGCTTTAAGTTTAGTAAAAAAAAGTTTGATAATTTAATAAATTATTTTAATTACTTAATAATATTTTTTAATAAAACTATAAATAATATCTTTATTTAAGAAATAATTAAACTATAATAAAGTATAAAGAGTTTATTTTTATAAGAGTATTATAAGAAATTAACTTTTATAAGCTACTTTTATTAAGCTACTTATAATAATTATAAAAGCTAAGATTGTTTCTTCATATAATATAAGAATTTAATAACTTAAGATTTAATTAATTATAAACTTAAGTAAATAAAGTAAAGAGTTTTTTATAAAGTAATTATTAATTATCTTTTCTTTTAAAGAAAGTTATCTTTAGCTTTAATATACTTTTTATTTTATTAGTAAATATTATACTAGTATAATAGGTATTAAAAAGGTTAAGTAGGTTTAATAATAATATTATACTAAAGCTTAAAAAGTTTAAAATAAGGTTATAAGTAATAAGGGGTATTATAGCCTTTAAAAGCCCTAGTTAAAAGATTATTAATTATATTATTAGTCACTTATAGATATAATTTTAAGTAAAGGAAATTAGTTATATAACCTTATTAATTAATTTAAGTTAATAACTAAAAATACCTTATATAATTATATATATAATTTCTATTTCTTAACTTTTTTAATAAAGTTTCTTTATTTTTAAAATACTATAATTTAATTTATTAAGCTATAGTAAATAAAAGTTATAAAAGCTTTATTATAAAATATAATTTTTAATTAATTTAATAGTTATTTCTAGCTTTATATACTATATTTTATATTTTCTATCTTTAGTTACTTTATTAAGAAATACTTCTTCTTTTATTATATAATTAAGTTCTTTTCTATTAAGCTTAGAAAATAAAGCCTTAAGAAGTTATTACTTAGCTTATATCCCTAGAACTTATTTACTAAAGGTAATAAGGTATAAAACTATATAGCTAAATATAGCTACTTTAATATAAACTAAGTTTATTTAATATATACCCTTAACCTAGATATACCTTAGCTCTTTCTAGCTTTAATTACTAGAAATTAAAGCTTAGAGTACTATATAATAAGGTAAATTACTATTTAGTATAGTACTAATCTATTAGTCTTAGAATAGCAGGCCTTTTATATAGGTCTATAAGCTTAGTTAGTAAGGTAAGTTTAGTTACTTACTCTTATATATTTATACCTAGAAGCAATTGCTAACTATAGTTAAATTAGTTATTAACATCCTATCTATAATCTAGTTAGCTTAGTATATTATTTATTAAGTATAAAGTATACTTACTTATAAGTTAGTTTTAATTATTAGCTTTAATATTCTTTTTATTAAATAAAAGAAATAGAGATAGTATAAGCTATTTTTAGCCTTTTATTTCTAATAATTTAAGGTTTTACTATTACTTTATATAGCTTTATTATAAACTTATTATATTAATTATAAATTATTAAACTATAGGGTAATTAGATTTAGTATTTACTTTTACTACTTTTTATATAATAGAAAAGATAACCTATATAAATACTTATTTTTATTTATTTTCTTTTTAAAGATTATTTTTTAATACTTAAAGCTTATTTCTATATAGTAAGTAGTTTACTAAGTTAAGCTTATAGTTAGCTATTTTTACCTTTAGCTTTAATATTAAATTTAAGTTATAATTTCCTTTTAAAACTATAACTTTAACTTATTAGTATACTTTATTCTTTTTAATAGTATTTTACTATAGAAAGTTTAAGTTTAAGTATTTTAAAAATACTATATTAGTAAGATCTTAGTTTATTAACTTTTTATTCTTACTAAAGATTTACTAAATATTAATAATAACTTTTATATTTAATAGTTACTAATATTAACTTACAATTCTTTTAGTTTTAATTTCTTTTAATTAGTTTTACTTTCTTTTACTAATAGTATTTAAAACTATTACTTAAGTACTTAGTTTATACTTAAGCTTAAAGTAATACTTAGTAAGCTCTTTAAACTAATATATTTACCTTTTAAAGAAATTCCATTTTATTGTAAAGTACTATAGGTTCTTATAATCTATTAAAACTATAAAAGATACTATAGCTATATAGTATAATATGCATAATAAGCAAGTATTACAGTTAAGTAAGTATTACACTTTTCCCTCCTATATTATTACCTATACCTAATTAATTAGTTTTTATTACAATCACCTTACAAAACAACCTCAGCCTTATTAGCTAGGTCCTATAAGCTAGCTAAACCCTAGCTTATTAAACCTTTATAAGGGATAATACCCCTTATTACCTATAACCTTATTTTAAACTCTTTAAGCTTTAGTATAATATTATTATTAAACCTACCTAGCCTTTTAACTAACTATTATATATATATAATAATTCTAAAGCTTCTTTTAAAAGCTACCTAAGTATAATAATTTCTACTTAATACTAAACTAACTATCCTAAAATAAACTAATTTCCTAACCTAATTATAGGTAAATCTTTAGTTTATATAACTAAAAACCTAGATAAATTAGCTATACTTAACCTAAATGTAAGCTATATCTTAGGTAAAATTAAAAATAAATACCTAGGGATAATCCTTATAGAGGAGCTACCCTAATTAAGCCCTTAATTAGGAAAACTAATATAATATACCCTATACTAGGAGGGAATTATATTAGTAATACCTTTACTAGGGATTAGTATAGTAATAATACTACCCCTAGAGTTTCTAATTTCTAAGCTAAATAGCCTAGTTTTAGAAGCTAATTAGTAACTATACTAAGAACTTTTAAAGCTTTATAAAAGATATTAAATAAAATAAGAAATTATAAAATTAAAAGTAATAATTCCTAAGGATATTATCTTTAATAAGTATCTATTAAAGTACTAAAGCTAACCTAGCTTCTAAAGTAAAACCCTTATAACCTACTTCTAATCTTACTATAGTAAGAAAGAAAGTAATATAGAAAATAAGAAAGAGATTACTATTAAGAATATTATAATACTTCTATAGTTTCCTACCTATTATATACTTAATAACTAGATATTAAACCTAAAGTAAGCTTTTAAAGCTACCCCTATAAAATACTAAACTAGGTATAACTATTTAACTATAGCTTAGGAGAATATAAACTAGGAACCTTAAGAGAAATAAGCTTAATACCTAGAGAATTTATTAAAAGAAAAATATAAAAAAGAGTATTATAGTTAATTTATATTTATATACTAGGCCTTAAAACTAGTTTAAGAAAGAGGAAGCTATTAGAATATAGATCTTATAGTATTTCTAAAATAGGCTTAATAATAACCTAATTAGTTTTTATAATAATTTTATAAGTATTTAGACTTACTAGAAAAGTAATTTTAACCTAAGTTAAAAAAAAAAAGCTTTATATATTTCTTAGTAAAGCTAACTAAGCCCCTTTAAAAGTACTTTACTCTTTATATATAAGAGTTACCTAATACTAAGAAAGAGATAGTTAGCTTAGTAAACTAGTTCTAGAATTCTATATATAGCTAAAAGTACTATTACTAAAAGAGTAAGGAGTTTCTTAACCTAAAGAGGGGATAATTATTAAACTACTTAGGTAATTAATAAGAGGGATTTTTATAAGGGATAAAGCTAAATCCCTAGTAATTAAAGTCTTAAGGGTAAATAAATATAGGATTCTTAACTACTTAACTAAATTCTACCTTTATAAAATACTATACCTATAGTAAAAGAGGCTATATTAGTAAAAACTATAGGTTAGCTAAGAAAGTTAACTAAGTATAGGTAAAAAATAAGTAATAGTTAAAGATTAAGCCTAATCTTTAACTAAATCTATTTTATACTTACTAAGTAATAAACTAAGGGCTAGTAACTATCTTTATAATATAATTACCTTATATAGCTAATAAAAGACTAAAGTAAATATCTATTTTAATACTAGAGTATAGATAGATATAATTAGTAATACCTTTACTAAGTAATATAGCTTAAAGTAATTAGTACTAAAAGGTAATAGAATCTTAGGTATTAACCTTTAGCTAGAACCTTATTACTTAAATTAGGAAGTTTAATTAACTTTAATAAACTAAAAGAGTATTATAAGGATATTTACTTATATACTTATTAGTATTAATAAACCTAATAACCCTTATAAGGTACTTATTATACTATTTAATTAATACCTATAGAAGCTATAGGTTATAATTAATTATAAAGAAAATTACTAATAGTTTAAGTATAACTAAAGTAAAAGGATAGAAATCCTTAAGGTAGGTATATTTCTTTATAAAGTATAGAGATACTAAGTCTATACTATTACTATAATATAGGAAGTATATATACTACTAGAAAAGGAAACCTATGTAGAAACCTTCTTTAACTTAATACTAATTAAGCTATAAGAATTTATAGATATATTTAGCTTAGAAAATATAGAAACTATTCTATAAACTAAGAAAAGTAATTATATAATTAATATTTAACTTAGAAAGAAACCCCTATTTAAGCTTATATACTCTTTATTATAAACTAAGCTTAAGGAGCTATAGGAGTATATTAAGGAGAATATTAAGAAAGGTAGGATTTAACCTTTTAAAAGCCCTATAAAGGCCCTAATCCTATTTATCCCTAAGAAGAATAGTATACTATACTTATATATAGATTACTATAGACTAAATAAGGTAATAATTAAGAATTATTACTTACTTCTACTTATATTAGAGCTTATAAACTATATTATAGGTAT